GGCCTCCCCGAATGTTTCCAAAGATCTGGGGCGGGAGCGGGCGGAGACTGCCGCCAGGAGCCTCCCGGCCGGCCCTGGGCTGCGCAGCCACTGGAGCCCATCACCCAACTCCAGACGCTCCTGGCTCCCCAGCGTGGGCCGGGAGTGACAGCTTTGCTGACTAGGGGAGGGGGCACGGGACCTTGCAGAGCTCCTGGCCGGAAAGGGAGGATTGACCGCTCCCCCGCGTATCACCCCGGAGCACTGGAACCCGCCCCCGCTTCTTGTTCTGGCACTGGTGGTGCTTGCGGTGAGGTCCAAAGAGCCCAGCCTCCCGGAGTGGACCGCCGGGCCGCTCCCCATTCCCACAGGAGAGGCTCCCGCCTCTTGCTGGCTGGGCAGCCCCTAGATACCTGGCTCCCAGGGGCCAGCTTCCCTGAGCCTGGGGACGAGCCTGCAGCCTGGACCCCACGGGCGCCCCCTACGGCCTGCCGGCTCCCTCTGGGCTCCACAGCCCACCCGGCCTTCCTAATTGCCTTCTGCTCCCACCCGTGCCTTAGCTCAGCCTGGTGGCCCGGCGGGTTGGGTGCCAACCAGTGGGCAGATGGCGGCACCAACTGGACCTGTTTGTGGCCCTGTATGCCAGGACTTCCTCAGAGACAGGTCAGGGATCCCCACACCAGAACCTCACTTTTCGGGGGTGGGGGGATAAGGAATTGGAGATCCTTCCTCCTCGGGTTCCTCCCTGGAGGCGGAGACAGGCCCCAGCTGGACTTGGCACTGGTTTTGGCCATCTGGGGCTCCCACTCCCAACCCCAGGATGTCAGCCCAGGTCTCAGGGTCCTGGCCTGCTGCTCTCCCCTTAGGGCCTCTGCGGGCCCCTCTCCAGATCTTTTCTCTGAGGCATCCTCACCCCCAGTGCCCAGCACTAGCTCCCCAGGCCCGGGATGTCCCTCCCCCTCCTCTGCCCACGGCTGTCCCTGGCAGAAGGCAGCAGCCTCCCCCTCCAACACCATGCACTTACAAAATAGAGAATCACGACCCCAGCAGGGCGTGTTCCAGATTCTTTCTCCAACAGTGCCATGGGCCCCTGCTCAACGGAGGGTCCTGTGCAGAGGCCAAGGAGCAGTACATGGACCCATCTGGCCCCTTCCTGCTGGTGGGACCGGTGGCACGCAGCCTCATCTCTCGGAGCCCATTTCCTAGCCACAGAATGTGGAGTAGCAGATACTTAGTGGGCTGCTGTCCTCAGAACTGAGTAACATCAGGAATGGGGAGTGCTTTGCCCTGGGCCATGTCCCACGCGGCCCCCGGTCTCCATGTCAGGAGAGATGCCTGGGCTGAAGACACTGAGCTGTCCCAAGGAAAGTTCTAGATATAGATTAGCTAATATGCACAGACAGACATACATATAAATGTGTATATAGATCTCTCTTTTTTTTGAGACGGTCTCACTCTGTTGCCCAGGCTACAGTGCAGTGGCATGATCACGGTTCACTGCAGCCTTGAACTCCCTGGCTCAAGAGATCCTCCCACCTCAGCCTCCCAAGTAGCTGACCACAGGCACGTACCACGCCCAGCTAATTTTTGTATTTTTTATAGAAACAGGAGGTCTCACTCTGTTGCCCAGGCTGGTCTCAAACCCCTGGCCTCATGTGATCCTCTTGCCTTGGCCTCACATAGCGTGGAGATTACAGGCGTGAGCCACCGTACCCAGCCCCAGACTAGCTCATAGTATTACTGGTCACCATTCCCCCACCCCAGGACTACTGGCAGAGGCCACTGGCTCTGCTTCCTTTTCTGTGATTTGGAGAAGGCTGGTGAGTTTCCTCCTCTTGACGGTACAGCGCCCATGCCAGGTTTCAGGAGGGGTATAGCCTAGAGCATGCCTGCACTGAGTGAGGGGCAGGTCGGGAGAGAAGCAGGGAAGTTCTTGTGTGCTGGCAGGTCCCTGCCCCTCTTTGCTGTGTCCTCATCTGCACAGTGGGGGTGCATGGTCCTGGGGAGGAGCGAGGCACCGCCCGGCCCCCTAACCAGCGGTGTCTCTCCGGAGCAGGACGGCTGCTCTGGTTTGTGACTTCCGGACAGGACGGCCATCCTCTCCAGAATGAAGATCTTCTTGCCGGTGCTGCTGGCTGCGCTTCTGGGTGTGGAGCGAGGTGAGGTGCCCTCGGGGACCCCAGAACTTTGTCCGGCTGTGCCCTGCTCGACTCCCAGGGGTCCTTCCAGGCCGCTCCCAGCAGAGGGCTCACCCGGCCTGGCCACACTGTCTCACTGTGTGTTTGGGTGCCACTTGAGCTGCTCGACGGCCAGGGTAGGGTGTCACTGTCTTCGTTCTGCCTCCACCCCAAGGGCTGCTATACGGTAATTTCTCAGTAAATGTCCCCTGGGGTCAGGCCTGGGAGGGACACTGGAGGCTTCCCTGAGACAGGTGTGTCCGCCTTCCACAGCCAGCTCGCTCATGTGCTTCTCCTGCCTGAACCAGAAGAGCAATCTGTACTGCCTGAAGCCGACCATCTGCTCCGACCAGGACAACTACTGCGTGACCGTGTCTACTAGTGCCGGCATTGGTGAGTGCCAGGCCTCAGACCACGCCTTCCTCCCCTGGCCGTCTCCCTGGCCCAGGCCGGGGCTCAGCAGAGGCCGTTGCTGTCTGCCTGCAGCCGTCTGCCTCTCCCCTGACAGCCTCATTTCCCATGCAGGGAATCTCGTGACATTTGGCCACAGCCTGAGCAAGACCTGTTCCCCGGCCTGCCCCCTCCCAGAAGGCATCAATGTTGGTGTGGCTTCCATGGGCATCAGCTGCTGCCAGAGCTTCCTGTGCAATTTCAGTGCAGCCGACGGCGGGCTGCGGGCAAGCGCTACCCTGCTGGGCGCCGGGCTGCTGCTGAGCCTGCTGCCAGCCCTGCTGCGGTTCGGCCCCTGACCGCCCAGACCCTGTCCCCCGATCCCCCAGCTCAGGAAGGAAAGCCCAGCCCTTTCTGGATCCCACAGGGTATGGGAGCCCCTGACTTCTCACGTGCCTGATCTGTGCCCTTGGTCCCAGGTCAGGCCCACCCCCTGCACCTCCACCTGCCCCAGCCCCTGCCGCTGCCCCAAGTGGGGCCAGCTGCCCTTACTTCTGGGGTCGATGATGTGACCTTCCTTGGGGGACTGCGGAAGGGACGAGGGTTCCCTGGAGTCTTAGGGTCCTTCGTCAGGACCAAGTCCCATGGACACGCTGACAGCCCCCAGGGAGGCTGTGTCAGTAGGGATGTGTGCCTAGCTGTGTACGTGGGTGTGCAGTGCATGTGGGAGCACGTGGCGGCTTCTGGGGGCGGTGTTTGGGGAGGGAGGGGTGCCGGCAGCCTGGAGAGCCTCAGTCTCCTGTAGCCCCTGCCCTGGCACAGCCGCATGCCCGTCAAGGGCAGCCTTTGGGAGCTGGGATTTCTGCCACTTCCAGGTCTAGGCCCCTCCCCAAATCCAGCCAGTCCTGCCCCAGCCCACCCCTACATTGGAGCCCTCCTGCTGCTGTGGTGCCTCAAATAAATACAGATGTCCCCCAGCTTCCTGCTCTGAGCATGGCTGCCCCATGGGGGAAAAGGCAGAGCACCCCAGGTTTGGAGGGTTCTGGGGTCTTCTGTGGTACGGCCCGGGGGGTGGTCGGGGAGGAGGAGTCGTCCCCTGAGCCATAGCCAGCAGCTTGCCTGGCCTCCGAGGGAGCCCCTCGCCAGCGCTCTGCCCTTTCTCCTGCCCCAGGCTCAGCAGGTCGAGTGAGTTTGGCCTCCCACAGCAGGAGGAGGTCGGGGGGCATGGAGGAAAAAAAGCAGGTGCCAGAAGGAGCACGCTCAGGCTGGGGCAGCACCCAGGGCTCTCTAGGACTTGGGAATGGAGGGTGTCTGTCTGGACCCGCTGGTGCAGAGGGCACAAAAGCTGGGCTGGGGCAGGACAGATAGTCTGGAGTTCAGTGAGTGGCCTTTGAGAGGAGCAGGGGGCTCCCACGCAAAAGCTCGGGGCAGCAACCCTGACCCATCCATGCCTGGGACGGCAGCGCTGCCCGCTTCCCCCTGGCAAGCAGGTGGCGGCCTCCTGACAGAGGAACCCGGCCCAGGCCACCATCTGCAGGCAGGTGCTGTGCACAGCCCAGAGGGCTCTTTGGGCTGGAGAGAGAAAACAAGCAGACACGCAATGGAGGTGTGTTTGTTTGTTTATCTGGGACAATGGGAGGAAACGGACCAGGGTCTCAGCCACTCAGCACCGACCCTGGATTTCCCTGGCTGGCCAGAAACTGTGCTGTGTGTGTCAAGATTCCAGGGGCACCGTCCAGCAGGAGGGGCCGGTGGTCACCATGGAAGCCCAAGATTCCCACCCCTGGCA